GCCCCGAGGCTCCAATTCAGGACACCAGTTCATGTGTCTGCCTTTCAGCGAACTCCCTGGGCCATGCCTGCTGTCATCCACAGGTGCACATCCTCGAGGGCTCTCCTCGGGTCCTTGGGATGGAACACAGACTCCATGTGATAACCCAGAGTGGTGACATTTGGTCCCAATCTCCCTCTCGGGTCCCCCCAGCCCTGAGCCCCCTGCTCCGGCCTGCTTGGCACCCAGAACTCTCTAGCCTTTGCCCCGGCAGTCAGAGGCTTTGCTTAGCACGTCCAAACATGCCCTCGCCCTGCCACCACTAATGATGCACTTAACAATGCCCAGGTACTTGTCCCCTGACCCTGTCCTCCAATTCAGGGTTCTTCATGCTCCCCAACCTTGATTTCCCAATTCTGCTTTCTCTTTCCAGAAAGACCATCCTAATCATGGGACCACATGCCCTTGGTCCCATGTTTGTGCATGTGTACGCATTGTGGGGTGGAGGGAGTGTCCAGGGCAGGTGCTCCTAAGGGATCACTGGCTCTGCATCAGGACTAAGGTGGCTGTGTGCTGCCGTGCCTGCCCCGTAAGCCCAGGAGCCATCTATACCCCTATTCTCCATGTGCCCAAACGTCACCAAAGGATTTGGACTGTGCAGCCCACACCAGTGGGATCCCCCTGGCAACCCAGCTGAGAGAGCGGAGAGAGGCAGGACCCCAGCCTGCCTGCAGCGTGTGGACCACTGGCCAGGACTGCAAATTCCAGAGGACGGGGCAGCTCCCAGGCTGCAGGCCAGCAGCGTGTGCTCAGATCACGGAGAAGGGGACACGCATGGTGCCGGGAGAGCTCCCTTCTATCCACCTGCTGCCCCCGCAGAGCAGCCTCCACACCCTGCACACATCTCCTCCCAGCTCCCAACGCAGGTTCCATCACTCCCCTGGAGAACACATCCTTCCAGGGACACTATCCAAAACTGAGCCCAGGAGCTCCAGTCCCCCCAGGCCTGACCCCCCAACCTCCCATCGGAACCCTCTATCTTCAGATTCCCCAAATGCACTTCACCTTGTCACATAGTTACTAAACTATCTGCCCGAAGCACATCGAGTCTGACTGACCTCACACCATGCCCTGGCGGTCAGGTGGGATCTGCAGGGCTTCTGCCCGCCCGACCCACAGTTTTAAACCCGCCTTCACACTGCCTGGCACTGGCGTCTAGTGCGCCCCTCCTGGGGACAGGATGACATCTTGCTTTTTCCCTTACCTACCCGGGGGGGAGTGGCCAGTCCATAACTGCTTCTTGAACACAGACAAGCCCAATATGAAAACCAGGACATATAGACCACAGACCAAGTATGCACTTTGCAGAAAGAGTTGCCAACAGTTTCTTTAAAGGGCGCCCGCCACCGCCAGCCTGGCCCCCATGCCCTTAAGGCCTGAGTCAATTCACAGGCATCTCATCTGCCTTGCCTCTCCCGAGCACACACATCTGGTGAAGACAGAGCCATTTCTGAGCGCTTGCTGCGTGTTTTCTGGGGTGGCCCCTATCTGGGTCCCATCAGTGGGTACCATTCGCCCTGCCATCCAGCCCATGGCCTTGGCTGTGGGCCCTTCTCCACCTGGTGCTAGAGGCCATCAGGGGGTCTGCAGAAAGCAGCGTGTGGAGACGGGCACATCCTGAGAAAGATGGCATCATGGGCATGCTGCTGGAGTAATGTGGCTTTGGGCACTGCCACCCACACTCAAGGGGAGTTTTTCTCGTCTGGATACAGAGGGTTCCTGGATCGACCCATGACTCCAGAAACTGGCAGAAGCAGACAGGGTCTGCCCAGTCGCTCAGCTGGCTAAGTAACTCCAGGCTCCCCACACTATGGTACTGGCTGAAGAGCAAGGCAGAAGCCAGTGTCCAGCCAGATGACCGGAGCTGCGCAGGCTTGCAGCAGACGCGCAGGGCTCCATCAGGTGAGATGAGGGGCAGGCCAGCCGAGTGGTGCTGAGACATGAAATGCTTCCTGCTCATCCTCACCTTCCTGGGAAGGACAGGGAGCAGGCCTTCGGGAGGAGCCAGATCCCCTTACCCAGCGGCCCCTTCTTCCTAAATCTCATAACCTCACAATGAACTCTTTCCACCGAGCACACTTCCCATTCTAAGGACTGCAGGAGCTAGGGAGATGCGTCCCCGAAACCCTGACACAGGCAGCCAGAGCTCTGCTTCTTAAGCCAACTGCCTCTTGCAGACACCAAGCCATTTAACACGGCTGCATCCAGCCAGCAATGAAAGGAGCCAGCACACCACATTAAAGGCCAGCTTGTAGTAACTCCCGATGCACACCTGGCCCGCACCCCCCCCCCCCCCCCGGCCTCCCTGGACCCCTGGGTCATAGCCCTGGCACACGAAATCACCATTGGGCTCTTAAAACTACAAAAGCCGAGGCCTGAGCCACAGTCTCGCCCAGACTGGAGTGATCTTTAAAAGACCCCAGGCAATTCTGCTCTCAGCCAGAGTGGGGAATCACTGTCAAGGAAGTCAGGAAGCCGCACCGCTTAAAGGAGACGCAACGGGAAAAGGCCGCTGCGTCGGCTGGGAGGCTTACTCCAGGGCCACCCAGAGCCCACCGCCCTGCAATGCCTCGGCTCTGCATCCCAAGCTGACCAAGTACAGAAGGGCTGATTGTGAAACAGGACTGGGCAGCTGGCTCAAACAGCATCCCCCTAAAATTCACGTCCAGCCAGAACCTGTGAATGTGACCTTATTTGGAAATAGGGTCTTTGCAGACATGATCAAACTAAGATGAGGTCATACTGGATTAAGGTGGGCCCTAAATCCAATGACTGGTCTCCTGATAAGAAGAGGGAAATTTGGACACAGACACGCACAGAGGAGAAGGCCAGGTGAAGAGGAAGCAGAGACGGGAGTGATGTATCTACCAACCAAGGAACGCCAAGGACCGCCTGGAGCCACCAGAGGCTAGGAGACAGGCCTAGAACAGCCTCTCCCTCACAGCCCCCGGAAGGAACCAGCACTGCCCAGCCCTTGATTTGGAACTCTGGGCCTCCTAAACCATGAGAGAACCGATTCCTGTCGTCTCACGCCCCCCCAGTCTGCAGTAATCCATTACAGCAGCCCCAGGGATCTCCTGCACTGGCACCAGCAGGCCTGACTGGGCCTCCAAGCTGGGATGGGGTTAAAAGTTTTGGCTCTACGATGATCCTGATGCAGTGAACTGGACACAAACGCCAGGAGATCCAGGCGGCGGAGACAGGAATGCGTAAGCCTCGAGGCATACCGAAGTTCCTCGAACCTGACCCTGTGCTCCCCCTGATCCAAACCTGGAGCCAAAAACAGCCCCAACCTCAGCTGATGCTGGGCAAGCACGGGAGTGGCCGGTGGGTCGTTCTCCCCATGCAGCTGAGGAATATAGGGTGGCCTCAAGGCCCGGCCCCTCCCACTCAGTTCCTGCAAACCAAGCCCAGGAGCCTTACGAGTCATGGATTCCTCCCGGGCCTGGACCCGATTCTGCCCCATGACTCGCTAGTCAGAAGCACAGGCCTGGACTCCCAGGGGCACCCCAAGGGAAGGCTGATCCTGGCTCCCCTAGTGGGAGGAGCCTCTGCTTTCCTCTGTAATCTTGCTGAGCAGCAAAACCAATGGAGCACAGACCCTTTTTCCCCCCAACTCAGGTTTCGTGGAAAGTACTCTGAAGCACGTGCCGGGCTCCAAGCCAGGTGGCCTGAGCCACAGGAGGCCCACAGGTAGCCCCTTGAAGACTCCCTGGCTAGGCAGCCAACTAGGGTGTGGCCAGGAGCCCTGGGGTTGGGGGGAGATGAGGAGGCCATGGCTGACAAGAGAAGAAACCCGGAGACCCCGGCTTTGAGTCTGCACAGGTGAGGGGAGCCCAGCCTCACCACATCTGGCCTGGCAACAGGATGCTCGGCGGGCACAGACTTAGGAGCAGAAAATAAATCTGTTGAGAAGTCCAAGGGGGCTGCAGAGGCCCACCTGCTGCACCTCTGCCCTTTTGGTTCAACCAAACTCGCCCCAGGAAAACCTGGCTGACTATCACCAGGGCAGCAGAGACCTGCAAGTGTCAGAGCAGGATGGAAACCCCCCGGGGCCCAGCTGGTTCCTCCCATTTCTGCTGCATTCTCCCTTCTGTCTCCTGCCTCTCTGTGAATCAGAACAAATAACTGGGCTCCTCTCTCCCTTGCTAGCTCCCATCTTTGGGGGGCAAGGAGACCTGAGGGTGACAGATATTTTCTGGGGATTCCAACAACCCTACTTGTCCCAAAGTCACCAATTTCTGTGGATGTCCTGAAAAAGCAGTCACAGGGGGCGGGCAGCAAACCCAAGGACCCTCCTCTCTGTCCGGCCTGGTGCGAGGTGCCTCCTGTGCCAGGCACAGAGGAAGGAGCTAGCCATGGGGCTTTGCAGGCCTTTCTCAGCTGCCTCTCTGAGCCCAGGAACCTGCCGAGGGGAGAGACGCTTCCATCGTGCCCAGGCTTAATCCGGTGAGCCCCCAAACGGAGCTGGTGGGAGAGGCCCAGGCAGAGCGCTTCCCCACCCAGCCCCTAGTCCAGAGGAAACCAACTCCCATCTCACCTGTTGAGTTTCTTCCTAGGGTCCCCTGTCCTCCAGCCCACCGAGGTCCAGACCCCCGCACCCCACGCTGTGTCCCTCACTCTCCTCGCCCCCGTGATGGCATCCCAAGGTCCTCCGCCTGCCAAAACCCAATCCGTTCCCTGGCTCCCTTTTCTGGGGCTGGAGCTGCAGCGGAATTTCGGTGGAATTTTGAGGTTGAGAAGCATCTCAGCAGAGAAGGAAAGAAAGGGAGAGAAGGAAGGGAAAAAGAAAGTGCGATTTTGGCGTCAACTTGCAGGATTCGAGAAGGCGCCGAGGGCCGGGAGGCGGGCGCTGGGTCCTCTGCAAAATGCGGGCGGGCGGGGCGCCTGCGGAACTCGGGGGTCCCGCGCGCCCCGCGGGGGAGCTGGGCACCGGGCCGGGGCGCGGTCGCCGTCCTTACCTACATCTGCATTGCAAAACGCCTGTTGCGGGTGCACCGGGGAGCAGCTGCAGGCGTCGGCCGGACGGAGCAGCGTCCCCAGCAGCAGGAGGCCGAGCGCCAGCTGCAGGCTGCGGGCCGCGGCGCCCATGGCAGCGAGGGGCGCGGGCCGGGGGCGCGGGCTCGGGGCGCTCCCCTCTCGGCGGGCGGGGGCCGCGCGGGTCTCCGCAGCGCTCCGCGGGCGCGCCCTCCGCACCCGGCCCGCACTCGCCGCACAAACTTTCTCCGGTCTCTGTCGCCGGGGCGGCGAGGGGCCGGCGGGGGGCGAGGGAGCGGGTTACGCGGCGGCGAAGAAAGCGGGTGAGGGGCGGCGAGGTGGGCGAGCACGCGCGGCCAGGCCGCTGCCTCCACTGCCTTCTATGGATGTGTGCGCTGCGGGCGCGGGCCCGGCCGGCCTTTTATCGCGCGGCCGGGATCGGCGGCTCCGCCTCCCGGTGGCTGGCGGCCAATGCAGGCCCCGGGAGCTCCCGGCGCCCCCTCCCCGCGCGCCTCCCGCGCCTCCGCGGCCCTCTCCCAAACCCGAGCTTTTGTTGTGCCGGGCCGGGCACGTCTAGGGGCATGCCGCCGCGCACCTGGCTTCCCACCGCCCGGGGCACACCCCGCAGCCGCCCAGATCGCCAGAGGTGGGGAACGGGGCGCTGCGGGGCGGACAGCCCCAGTGGGCCCTGACTCAGCACTTGGGACTGGCAGCCCACCCCTCCAGCGCACCAGGCGGCCCACCCAGCACCCCTTCCCCTCAGACTTGGCGCGGGAGGTGTACACTGCCTGATTCCCTTCCACCCCTGGGGGCCCTTCGATTCTAGCCAGGCATTGAGCAAAGTGGATGTGCGCTGTGGAGCAGGGGTCATTCCCTGCCGCCCCCTCCCCATGCCCGCTGTGGGTGGGTGGCCTCCTGAAGCTTACTGAGGATTCGTCTTTCAAATGGAGGCCTTAGAATTTTAAGTGCGCTTGGCCAGTTTAGTGGGAGGGGGAGGGGGGCGTGGTTACTATGAACAAAACAGGATTTTATATAAACTGGCCATATTTTTGACCAGCCAACAAGAGTCAGGAGGGTGGGCCCAGGAGCCCAGGACGCAGTAGGATTGGATGAAGGCCTTTGCTGGGCTCTGCTCACAGTTCCCTCCCTTAGCCCGCAAATGTGGGAGCTGAAGGACTTTTCCCAAAACAGTCTGCGTTCCAGAAAGGCCAGGACCTTAAAGGTGTGGACCACATGTGGAGTGTGACAACGGGGGTCGCTGTCTACCTGTCCGCAGCCTGCCCGGTCCTCTGCGAGCGTGCTGGTCCGCAGAGGACCTCCCTCCTGCCCGCAGGGCGTTTGTTATCTAGTAGGGGAGAAGTAAACAGAGGAAAATGACACAAAGAAAGAATAATTGCCTGCTACTCGGTGTACTGCTGACTGGAGATACGAAACTGGAAAAATATTGAAAGAATGGAAAAACAGTGTCTTCCTGTTTACGTGTGCTTTGAAACAGACAACTTGGAGAAAAGTTAAATAGGCAGAGCAGTTATTTTTAGCACCCTGACAAACCCAAAGTCATTTTATCGGGTTTTGTACGTGTAAAATAGAGTTGTGTTGTTTGTGAAATGATATTTGATGCTAACGTTTTAAAGCACAGTGTATTCGGAAAATTAGAACATGTTGGCTGCCCATAGGCTTTTCCTTTCTTCCTTTCTTTTTTATTACAAGTGGAACAAAGTCCTGCGGAACTTAACAGAATCTAAAATCCATTTGTCAGTTTATGAGAGAAACAGATAACTTTGGGGCTCTCAGTCTTTCAGGCTGATATGCATGTGAGTGACCAAGTGCATGTGAGAATCAGAAATACATCAGCAACGGTGCTGCAAAAGGGGGCGGGGTCAAGGCTGGCTGCATGGTGTGGAGGGGGGTGGTAGTGGAAATAAGGGGCCTGGGCTCCCTTCCTCCCTCCCTTCCTTCCCTCCTCTCTCCCTGCTTGCCTTCCTTCCATCCACAATGCTTACTTGAGCGTCTACAGTGGACACTGTCTGAAGGGCAAGACATTCAGAAGTGCACAGAACAGACAAAAGTCCCAGGGACAGTGATGGGAAAGGCCCCTGAGCCAGTGAAGGAGGGCAGTGCGGGAAGAGGAGGTGGGTGGAGGGGCTGGGAGGGGCGCACGTTTTGTTCTGAGTGAGGTCAGAGCGTTCCGAGGGTGTGGAGCAGATGGCGGAGCGGGCTCCCCTGAAAGCACTGAGCTCTGTGGTGGCGTGGACAGGAGTTGGGGCAGAGGCTCCAGTGTGACTCGGAGACTGGCAGCCCAGCTGCCTTGACGCCTCGCCAAGCCCCGCCTCTCCGTCCACAAAGTGCTGAGGAGTCCCTTCCTAGGGGATTGCTGTGAATGGCTGACCGAAGGCTCTAAAATCTGGTGCACTGGTGGCTGTTATCACGAGGCTTGAGGTGTCCAGTGTTAAATGACTCTCAGAAGGCAGAGCTGATGAAGGGACAGAGCAGTCCCTGAAACCTCCTCGTCTTCCCAACTCAGTGTCCCCCATCACACCCTGACCTGCCCCAGCCATTACTGCCGCCCAGTGCCTGCCGTGGCCTTGGCTCCCGGGAGCCCAGCCTCAGTCCCACTGAACTCTCCTTCCTCTCTGGCGTCCTCTTCTAGTTGGAATCTTCCCATCTCAAAACGAAGGGAACTGAGGCCTCAGATATGGAATCTGCTGAAGATGGGAGTAGATGAGAATCTGGCCACTAGCGTCAACAAGCTGCTCTTTCCGTGCTCTCTGCTCCACCGCCAGGAGGGCTCACCAGCACAGGATGAACGTGGGGGCCTGGCTGCAGGTCTGACCTCTGCCCAGGGCAGGGAGGACAGGGTTAGGACGTCCCACACCCAGGCAGGAGAGGGAAGGAGGAAGGTGGCCCCCGAGGCTGGGAGCTCCCTCTATCACCCTCTCTCCAACCTGCCTCCTCTGCTTTGATATGGGGGGCAAGCTAACAGGGGAGCCATACAGGAGACCCCAGCCCGGCCTCCTGTGTGCGTTCTGACCTCAGTCTGCTGGATCTCGGCTTGTATCCTTGGCTCCCAGCAGGACTTAGGATAGACAGGAGGGGGCAGCGCCTGCCAGGCCAGCCGGGAAGGGGGCCTCCCAGGACCCTCAGACCACGCTCCTGGGGCCAGCACTTCCCAGCAGAAACAGTCACCTTGCCCCTGCCTCCCCCTCGAAGACTTTCCCATCTCGGAGCCCAGCAGAGCTGTCAGCCCGTCCCAGGTGTCCCAGGCGTGTGACATGAGCATACCCAGCAAGCATGCCCCGGGCCTGGCTTGGCTGAGTAAATGTGGTCCAGGGCCGGGAGGAAGTGCCAACGCCTCCTCCCTCCTGCTCCCTCAGGTAAACAGAGTCAGAATGACCTCACAGGCTTCCGGCTGGAGGCCCGGCTGCACCAGGCTCTGTCCACCCAGCACCAGGACGAGCGTTGGAAGACTCAGCCTCCCAGTTTGGAGAAGATCCATTTCCTCCTGAGCGTGGAGCATCCCCTCCCTGGAGACAGCTGGAGCGGAGCTGAAGCCCCCGCACTCCTTCCGGCAGATTCTGGGGAGCCAGATGCTCTATGCTGTGCGACAGGCCTTCAGATCGGCCCGCACGCTCAGGAAGTGTGCCCGCAGTTGGGACGATTCTGCGGTTTGCGATGCAAGCCTCTGATTCCTCAGAGAGGAATGGGCAACCGTCATTGGGGTCACGATGGGCCCCCCCCCATCAACTCTGGTCATCAGAATCATGGGCCCAGTAGGTGGGTGGTGCCACCCAACCCAGATATGTGTCCTGGACGTTCCCTGGCAGGCAGGGCTGTTTACCACGGAACATCCCAAAGATGACAAGAGGGTGAGTCAAGAATGATCGGGCCGTCTGTGGCATGAAGATGGGCCACAGTTCACTGCACGGTCAACATAAGCATCTCCATGATCAGCAGTGGACACGCTAAAGGACGTTTCGATTTTCATTTCATGTCATTCGTTTCAAGATTTGTCCTCTTCAGCCAGGGCCAGCTTCTCAGCCCAGCCCTGCTGACCTTTGGGCCAGACATTCTCTGGCGGGGCCGTCCTGTTCACTGCAGGGTGTTGAGCAACCTCCCTGGCCTCCACCTTCTAGATGCAAATAGCACCCCCACCCCCCCAAGTTGTCACAACCAAATATGTCTCCAGACATTGCCTAATGTCTCCTGGGGGGCAAAACCGCCTTCGTTGATAATCCCTGACTTAGGGAAACTAATAAAAATATTTGGCCTCGAGAAAAGCAAAATATAGAGATGTAAACAGCAAGGTCCCATTTCTGCGGAGCAAACAATAATGCATGTGGGAGGGTCAGGGTATCCACACGTGGCCAGAGAACAGGGCCGGGGGTGACCCACCAGCCTGTCCACATCGGTTCTCAGGGGAGAGAGGGGAGGCAAGGAATATTCCAAAGGTTGTTTTTAAAAAGTGTCCATGAGTAAACATCATGCATAATATTTCACTTATGTGACATTAAACACATGCATGGATGTAGACAGATGTATAAAAAGCTGTCGATGGAAAAGTTAGTGGAGTGTCTCCGGTGGTGGAAACTTAGGTGACAGGATGGGTGTCATATCTGCGCCTTGTACGGAGAAAGCAGTTTTCAACCCTAAAATGGACAGCTCCCGGGGCAGAAATGCGGATGTTTTTCTATACTCTCTGTGTAGCACTGTTACAGCCTGCCCTGGCTGCACTCCTGAAGGCACTCACTTTCAAATGATCCCGCTCCATCATCTACAGTGCTCTTGGCTCACATCTCCCGTTGGGGTTTCTTTCGCTGCGTGCGCGGCTGTGTTTTACGCCCTCCCATAGGGCATCTTTAAGGAGGCGGGGCTTGGCCTTTCTCCTTCATTCTTGGCCTACACACCTGTCACTCCTTTTGCCTCCCCTCCCACGCAGGCACCCCTCGGGGCAAAGGCAGCCTTGAGCCAGGGCTCCCACCTTGCAAGCCTGCCTGGATCTGAAGCCCTGCTCCCTGCTCGGCAGAACACCAGCCTTCACAGACCGGGCAGCAGTCTCAACACCAACCCTTGCAGCTCCCATCCCGTCTAGAGTCACTCCAGAAAGAAAGGAGGGAGGGGGGTGGCTGTCCTGGGGGTGAACTGGAAGCTCATGAAGTCATCGGCTTGAGGAGACTGCCACATCTAAAATATCTGGGGGCAGACACGTGGACTGGAAGCACATAGAGCCTTCCTCTGGGGGTGGCTCTGGGACAGCAGCAATGTCACCCTTGTGCCCGGAAGCCTCTGAGACCTTGTCCCACATGGACTCTGGAATGGCACTGCTTCTCCTCCTTGTGGCCTGCTTCTCCTCCTTGTGGCCGTGTTTCACCTCCCGTTGACCCAGAAGGGTCTCCCATCCTGCCAGGGCGGGTT